CATGATCTAGAACATGCTGTTACCCCAGCGCTGGATAGACATAACTGCTCTGAATTTTGACAAATAAAGTGGTAGTTTAATGAGGTGGGCATGTTTCCACAGGGAACACAGCGGAGACCACCAAAATTACTAGTGATGTGTAAAAAATTAGAACCCCTTGCAGTGTGAGTGGGAGGCACTGCAAGGGAAGTTTTTTACAGATCCCAGAGTTCAGCTATAAATCTACTCAGACATGTTTACCAAATAGCAAAGATACTACGGCACTGTGGAGATAAGTAATTACCATCTCGCTTATATCAGACCCCTAAGATGAGGCCTTTAATACTAAAAAAAAAGTCAGCTTGCTGTCAGTTTAGGCCGGACAAGCTGCCAGTAAACTGCATGTCCCACTTGGCTTTGCTAATATTACCAAACATGATCTAGAACATGCTGTTACCCCAGCGCTGGATAGACATAACTGCTCTGAATTTTGACAAATAAAGTGGTAGTTTAATGAGGTGGGCATGTTTCCACAGGGAACACAGCGGAGACCACCAAAATTACTAGTGATGTGTAAAAAATTAGATCCAGGTGTGTACTGGGGGAGGTAAAGCTTGGGCTGCCATGTGCTCAAATGCTAAACAGACAGCAAGATTTGAAAGGAATCCACTAATATAACCACAGTGAGAGCACAGCACAGGGGGGAGAGAGCTGACTGTGAGGCAGACAAGACAGACAGGCCACTACAGCTTCATTCACTCCAGACACACAGAGGGCTCGGAATAAATACACCATTATCATCTCTGCATCAAAGTGTTATTCTAATGCTGCATTATAACCAAATTCCACATGGCTGGTACAGGCAATGCCTTAGGCACTCGAATATAGAGCACCAACTCTACTGCTGGCTCTATCAAGGAGGATAATATTTAGGTAAAATACAATGCACAAGTGGCTGTGTTTTATGTATTATATTAAATGTATACATTATCTTGCTAGTTGGCCCTGCTGGCTCTCAAAATACCTGAACAATGCCTGCATCCAATCAGATTGTTCAGGTATTTTGAGAGCCAGCGGGGCCGGCTAGCAAGATACTGATGCTCGGCCCAGCAGGAGATTCCCCTATCTACACAGTTTAGGGCTCATTCTCACTCGGTGCAGTGCGTTCTGGCCCAAATGAATGGCGCACTTGTAGCATTTTGATCGCACCGCACAGGATCGGACTGCAGGCACAATGTGCCTCGCGATCCCGTGTGGCGGATCGCATTGCGGCCGGAGGGCGTGGCTACGGTGCCATTCACTTGAATGGCCCGCCACGCCCCCTCCTGCCCCACTAAAAAGTGAACCGGCCGCAATGCGAGGCAGTGCGCTCCGGCCAAAATCGGGCCAGAATGCACTGCATCTAGTGTGACTGAGCCCTTAGTGTAGATGGAGGAATCTGTTGCACTTTTTCCATCTGACCATAGAAAATCTGCAGATAATCTATAGGTGTATGGCCAGCTTTACACTGTCCATACGTGGCTGGAATTTTGTCCGATTCCTGACAAAATTCAAGCCATGGGTGGTCCTGTGGGCACCACTCGGCTCAACAATATTCAATCACAAATTTGAAGGAGCCAGGTATAAATCTGTCAGCCAAACAGTCACTGCATTCTATCAAATGTAGTCACTGTTCAGGTATTCTGGCACTTGTGGGCAAAGCGGCTGCTGAATACAATAGTCGGCAGCACAGATTTCTCCATCCACAGACTGGACAAGAGAAATCTACATGCGTATGGCTAGCCTTAGTTGTATGAAGCTAACCTTATTTACATGACTACACTACAGCACCAGCTGAGTATTCATAGAATCAGCATCCACATATAACTGGGCTGGGCCCTCTTCTTCTTTTACAGGCCCCCCAAGTATCAGAATGCCAGTGCCTGGTCGCACATGCGACTCTGGGGGTATAACAATGAAGGCGTGCTGGGACTTATAGTTCAACTACAACCAGCATGCCTTCATTGTCCCTGTACACCCCTCCATGTCACCCAGGGAACTACAAGTCCCATCATGCCCTCATTGTCCTTGTACACCCCCACATATGAATCACACAGGGAACTACAAGTTCCAGCATGCAAGACCCCTGCAGTAGTTCCCTGGGTGATATGTGAGAGGTGTACAGGGACAGTGAGTGCATGCTGGGATTTGTAGTTCCCTGTATGATAGAAGGCTGTTTTAATTACTTTCCTCATGAAAATACTAGTAATACAATGCCATTATAGTACAGTAACTTTCAAGTTCAGCTATATTCTATTCTAAGTTCTATAATGACATTGTGTTACTAGTACTTTCATGAGGACATTCATTAAAACAGCTTTCTATCATACATGGAACTACAAGTCCCAGCTGAACTGCCGACTTGTAGTTTCCTAGTAATACAATTACATTATAGAACATGGAATAGAATATAGTCAGTTCCAAATTCAGCCATGTTCTATTCCATATTCTATAATGGAAAGTACCTACCTCAGCTGTCACGGTCCTCTTGTCTTCCCAGCTGAAAGAAGCTCAAGCAGGCTATAAAAAAAAAAAACACACTAGCGTGGGGTACAGCGGCCAGGAACATCCAGGCGGGTCTCTCTGTAGTATCAGGACGGCTGCTGCTGGGTCCTCGCAGCCGTGTTCACTGCCGGCCAGCCCACTTGTCACCTGCTGGCGACCAGCGCAACCCCCTCCCGCTCGTCCATCTGACGCCACTGATTAAGTGTAGCAATACTATACCTAGATAGTGTAAAGATAACTACATTCACATGAATACACTACAACTGAGTGTGGAATTCATTAGCACAAAATCACAATTAAGTTTGCAGATTGTAATTGCGGTAGTATTAATATGTCTAGGTTATATGAAGATAACTCTATTTACATGATTACACTACAGCAACAGTATGCATGTCATCAGCATATATTCACCACCATCTTCTCAAATTGTAGATATTGTAACATTAGTACTGCTGTGTAGCTTTTTTTTAAACATCTGTGCCTGGCCAGGAATGGGGGAGCTGATCTTTTTTTCCTGTGGTTTCACTTTTACTTACAGGTCTCCTCCCCACCTACACCCTGTTATTGGACAGTGAAACAGCACATCAATGAGCCCATCTTTCTGAAACACACTTGATTGGCTCCTTTTGCAGCTATTGGCCCTCTGAGCTCTGCTGTACCTGGACAGCAATAGGCTGATATCAAGTCAAACTCAGCTACTTACACTTCATGCATTTACAAAACATACATTTAATGACCGGAGCTGGATTCATTGGTGCGTGCTTCCATTTAAGTGATGCATTGAGGTGAACATTTTGTAAACAATTTAAAAAAAAATATTTCAACATATATAGGTAAGTATATTTGAGCTGGTTATCTAATAGATGCTATTTATATTTCGAATCATTTCACCGTATCACATTTCTCAGGAAGGTATGCTTTTAATCACACATACTCTCCAGATTGACAGCACACAGGACACTACGCCATGACATAATACAGGACATAAGCCATTGTAATATAAGTTTATTTCTAAATGAAATGAGGATGCCAGAAGACTAATGGATATCATATTGTTATAGGCTGATAATACTTGCAGACTGGAAAATCAAATTTAGAGCCACATCCCTTAAAGGCTAGAAAGATTTAGAAGTTTGGTCCAAGGAAACATTGCCAATAGACAAGCACTTGCAGATAAGAGACTGGTCTCTCATTGCATATTATTAAGCTGGGAGGTTTCCAGGTCTAGAAGAGCCCCTCTACATCCCTCTAAAGAGCACTGAAAAGCTGGGTTATCTTAAAGTGACCCTGGTGCAAGACCACATAGATTTAGGAAAGGTTCACACCATCTTGAATGCGGTGTATTGCGTTTTGCCGTGTTTTTACCACGATTCTGCCGCGTTCCAGAGCAGTGCGGTCCAGTCTCAACTATGCTAAAAAAAATAAAATTCAAATGGCACCTTTTTCGATCCTGCTTTGTTTTTATCAATGGAGGCCGATGCTTCCTAGCACCTTACAATTACCCTTGGGCTCATAGACTGGCTGGAGTGTCTCCTGAATCATATCCATTTGTTCATCCCTTGCATGACTGCTGGAGGCAGGGGAACCCATTAAACTCCATAAACGTATTTTTTGGAAAAACGATGACATGCTGGAATGACACTGGCTTAATGTGAGGCTATCCGTTTAACTGTAAACACTGCTTATTTACTGCATTAGTGTCCATTCAAACAATGCTCATTTACTGCATTAGTGTCCATTCAAACAATGCTCATTTACTGCTCATTTACTGCATTAGTGTCCATTCAAACAATGCTCATTTACTGCATTAGTGTCCATTCAAACTGAATCATTTTTGTCTGGACATAGCCTCTAAAGTACATCTAAACCCAAGAACTGAAATTAAACATACAGCAGCTTTCAGGCTTTTTTCCATCATTTTCATCCTTCCTATCCTGGGGTGACAATAATTGCTCACTATACTGTATCTATGTAGGATCAGCGTTGTCACCCTTAGGACAGGAAGTGTTAGAACTACAGAAAACCTCTCCCTCTGCTCATCTCTATAACATAGGTAGACTATTTCTGTAGTTCACAGAGGTGGACTGGGCAGGGCTGATAACACTGTTCAGGATCTAAGACCTGAAGCTCGGGAGTTGTGATTTGCTACATCCATAATTGCCCCTAATGAGCCAATTCCCCATTGCGAAGAAAATAGCTTTTAAGGATTCTTCTTTTTTTGCAACTATTATTGTTATTGTCCTAGCTTACGTTGGGGATTTCTTTGTGGCATATTTTTATCACATGAATGAGAATTTAAAAAAAACCTCTTTGCCTATCAATTGTAAAATTCTAAACATTCCAAAAACAGACAACAAATAGCTATTTTTCAGTAGAGGTGACTATTTTTCCAGGGAGCGGCACAATCCAAAAAGACAAGGAAGCAAGTATGTTAATACATCCTAAGCACTTAGCTTTCAAGCTGAGCGGACGTTTACCTTGACTTGAAGGTCCTCTGAGCTTTCGGTGTCCATGTAACAAGACAGCAGCTTTGGGAAAACGTTTGCTTCGGCTACAGCACGTGCGTGCTCTGGAGTGTGTCTCCCAATCTGGCCCAGGGACCAGGCAGCAGCTGCCTTGATGTGATCCTCAGCTTCCTCTGACAGGCAGATGGCTAATTGAGGGACCCCCTGCAAGGTTCAACACAAAAGTCCACGCTGAAAAGCAATGCATATCAAGTAATCTCCCAGATAACACAAACCATTAGATAGAAATCATGGCTTTTTGTCCCCTCCGTCTTACCAATTCATAAGAGGAGAGGAAACCATTTCACCTACCCAATTATCTAGTCTCCATCAATAACCTCTCCATAACTAGGGAGCCTCGGCTGCCACAAAGGGTTAAGCCTTAGTGTTCAGGTACAGATTAAAATAATTATTTCCTTCCATACAGCTTCCTAGCAATATTGCCGCATTAGGGTTTCTGTAGGACATGAGTCCAGGTTGACATTTCATTATAATATAAGTTCACTTTGGTATTTAACAAGGTCGATCATGGAAAGTTACCTATAGCAACAAATCAGCTTTAAGAAGTTTAAGCCAAAATGAAAGATAGCTTCTTCTAATGAGAGGAGCTTCCTGACTGGATGCTATTGGCTTCCTCGCTTTGTGCTGTTTGCCTGATTTCATAATAGACTTTGTTTACTTTAAAGCCACTTTCAATGAAAGAAATAAATGAAAGAAAATTAGTACCAGATAATTGCATTAAGTACATTATGGCTAGATAATGGTTCTAAGGAAGCTGCTACGAGATAACAATTAGAAAATCCAGAGCAGTTTAATGGTGGAAGTATGTTTAAAGAAAAGAAATCATTTGTCTTTATAAACACATTCCACTCCCCCCATATTTCATTACCTTAAAGAAACGCAATTCATAATGAAAGTTACTCAGCCCCAAATGTAAAAAAATGTGCAGAAAATTGTTTATATGACAAATGACTCTCATCTTTATGTATCTTCATGTTTGAAAGCTTGTACTTAATCACGATTCAAACCAGGTCCATCTCTCTTATATGCTGCTTTATTGTAGACAAAAATTGAATGTTCTCATACGTTTTGTATAATGTAGAATATTTAATCACATATTTAATCCGTTTACATGATTAACAGCAAAAATTTAAATTGTAACAAAACAAGCCAAGATTTAACAGAATGATTCTGCCTTATAGGACATAAGCAGATTGTATTACAATATTCTATATACTGCGGAAGGTAAAAGAAACCTTAACCGTTCTTAGTTGCAAATATCTTTGCAACTACTTCATGTATCCAAGTGAATTCTATCTTGTTTTGTTTTGGATAAATTGTGTCTTCACTTGTGGTAAATGAAAAAAATTATTTTATCCTTAGCTGTATATTTCTTACCGTTGCCATGATCCACCACCAAAAAACAAAATAATAATAAAATACATTCTCCTACTCCTGATGTGTATGGGGATACCACATGTGTGTGAAATATTTGTTGTCTGTATCTGTAGTAAAGTCCAGAAACAACAGCACACATTTCCATTTTCTATCCTACCTAAAACACGCTGACACTAATACTGATCCTAATGCAGACATTGACACTAACACTTACCTAGATCAAGCCCTGATTTCACTAATTGTTCTTTATTTTTTAACAGACTTTAAACAGTCTTTTTTTTACAGACTTTTGCTTTAGCGAGAAGAAAAAGATTCAATATATACAGTGCATATCTTTTTCTCTACATAATAGGGTTCTAAAACTAGTAACCACAGTGATTGGTTGTCACAGTGATCACATGATTGGGGGTCGGCCCTCCTGCTTCTCAGTCATTACTCTAAATCCCTGTTCACAACTAAACACAAGAAATCCCATTAATTTCAATGGCCCTTGTTCACACCTGAGACCGCTGGAAAAAGTTAATGAGCTTTTTTGGCACATCACAGTGCATTTGGCCCCATAGACTTCAATGGAATCACCTGGAAACACGCAACACAAGCGTTTTGCACATTCCCCTGTGTCTTTTTACATGCATTTGTTCATGGACCGCAATGTCTTTCAGTCTTCCCGCTAAATTGCACGTAAATGTGTGCAAAAATGTTAATATGCACAAAAACACTGTCGCCTAGGTGTGAACGGAGCCCAAGACCAGAAGGTATCGGTAACAGCTCGATCTTCATGCTGGGGGTGCACATACAAGCAGGCTTCCAGCACAAAGAAAGGTACGCCTATACTGTATGTTGCAATGAGAGAAAAGGCCTAGCCTGTGCTACGAAATATATGCGTGCTGCTGGAGGGAAGGGGTTAAGGGAGACATAAACAACATTATTAGAAGTATTAGTAATAGCAACATTCATTTCATGTAATATTATATATAAATATTATTATTCAATAAGAAATACATAAATGAAATATAAATGTATCTCTATCAATGTATTCTGTATTTAGCTATTATAACATATTATTGGTTAAATGAACCAAGCAATGAAATAAAAAACTGAACATTTTAAGAAATAAGGAAAACATGGACAGTTGCTTTTCTATTTAATAAATAAACATCTAACAATTGTGATAATAAGAGGTTTTAGGAAGAAAGAAGGTTACCCCAATAGTACTAGATTTTCCAGAATCAGTCTTCCTTAGACAGTAAAAAATAAATTATATTATGAATTCTAGTATTCAGGTGTGTGGCTTTCTGCATTTGAATAGCAGAATGGGTACATTGCTTGTGATTACAAGGTGGTATAACAAAAATAAAATATAATGTATCCTCTTAGTCAAGACTGGGAATCTTTTTAGGCAATCATGGGTAAAATAACTTTTAGCATTTATTTTAGTAAATAGTATATGTGAACTCAATCATTAAAATCTTATATATAATTTTTACACACACATGTAAATTCAAAAGTCATTTTGAAACACGTTAATATTTTTAGTTTGACTGCATTCTACACAACAAACGAAACTAAACGACATTTGGTTAAGGTTTACGTCCACTTTAAATAAGCTAGACCTCTACCTGAATCTATAAACAGGCCATTTGGTGACCCTTGTGGAATGGAGTTGGGAAACACACAAAAGTCACAAGCCCCATACTCAAAATGTATTTTCTTTATTACAGGTATTTATAGAGCACCGAAAGTTTATGCAGAACTTTCACATATTGCACATTCACCAAAAAATAGAAATAGAAGGGGCTTTTTAGGTGTCAAAAAATGCAATTGAAGATAATACAATATAATAATGACAAAATCACATATAATAAAATAACATTTATTATTAAAAAGGTTTTTATGATCCACATAAGAATAAAAATTAATTATATCTATCCACTAATATCCCTGATTTTGTCATTATTATGTTGTTTTATCCTCAATTGCATTTTTTGACACCTAAGGGCTTGTTCACACCAAGCACGTTCCAGGAGCAGAGCAGTTACAGACGGGATCAAAACTGCGTCCAATGTATTCCAATGGTATTTTGGGCTCTAGTTCACACCGTAGTGTTCAGTTCCAGAGCATGTAAAATAAAACTGCAGCAAGCCCTATTTTACGTGCTCTGGAACGCATGCAAACGCATCAAAAATGCATGCAAACGCCCTGGAACACACTGACATCCCATTTTAACTTAAAAAAATAAAGATATAGATATTTTGGGCACCAGTTTACAAAAAGGATGTTGTGAAACTGGAGAAAGTGCAGCGAAGGGCGACCAAACTCATAAGAGGCATGGAGGAGCTCAGCTATGAGGACAGATTAGCTGACCAGAATTTGTTCTCTCTGGAGAAGAGGTGACTAAGGGGGGACATGATCACCATGTATAAATACATAAATGGTCCATATAAAGAGCTTGGTGCCAAATTATTCACGTTAAGGTCACTGCAAAGGACAAGGGGGCACTCTTTGCGTCTGGAGGAAAAGAGGTTTACCTTTGCATACGGAAAGGATTCTTCACAGTTAGAGATGTAAAAATGTGGAATAGACTCCCCCAGGAGCTAGTTCTAGCTAACTCGGTTAATTGTTTAAAAAAACATCTGGATGTATTCCTAAATGCACCGAATATTACCGGATATTGAGTTCTTATAGGTATATTAAGCATCAGAGATTGTTGATCCAGGGAATATCAGATTGCCTTGTGGGATCAGGAAGGAATTTTTTACCCTGTTGGAGCAAATTGAGCCATGCTTTATAGGGGTTTTTTTGCCTTCCTCTGGATCAACATTGGGTAATTGTGGGCATAGTGTTCTGTTTAGGCTTTTCTTCTTCTTTTTTTTTTCTCCATATCTCTATAGGTTGGACTCGATGGACTTGTGTCTTTTTTCAACCTGACTAACTATGTAACTATGTAAAACTGGGCGGGATCACGTTAAAATGTGTGACCACAAGACCGGTCACACATTCCACCGCCAAAAAAACGGGCGTGATTACGTTAAAATGTGTGACCACGTCATCGGTCACACATTCTAACGCAGTCACAAACTTTGATGGAACTACGGGATTCGGACAAGGGATCCTCAGTGCTGCAAGGCAAAAGCGCTACCCACTACGCCACTGGGCGCTTAAAGTGTATGTGTAAATATATTTATTTATAACACACACAATGGTTGTCATACTGTAGGCTTTGGGGGTGCACAAAGTTATTTCCAGTTACTGCATTTTACCATTACAGGTCAAACACATAAAGCTAAAACCATACAGTATATACTGTATGTGATGAACTGTCGGCCGCCTCCTGCCCCTCATCCTTCGAAAATTTGAAGGGGCCAGGAGAAAAATTGTTGACTGAACAGTGTTTGCATCCAATCCTCTGCAGGCACTGTTCAGATATTTTGACAGCTGAAGGGACCGACTGTCAGAATGAAAAAGCGAGAGATTCAGCATGGATGGAGGAATCTGTTACATTTTTTCCAGCCGTTCAGCTGGTGGCTGCTGTCAGAGTACAATGAAGACAGTGGTAGATTCCTCCATCAACGCTCACCAACTATTATATTTTCCTTGTTCAGCCTGCAAGTTGAAGGAAGAAAATATGACAGTGAATGGGCCGCTTAATATTCTGCTGGGCATAATAGTATCAAGTAGCATGGAGCAGAGGTGACATGTGCAATGTGCTGCAAGGTCCTGCTTCATGTGTCATATACAATGGTGGTGATGGGCACAGGCTTTATATTTTCAGGTCCTGAGGCACGCAGCATCTATGATGCCAATATCCCAAAGTAGATCTAAAGCCAAACGTTTTCTACTTTTAGATTCTGTACAAAAGGGTTAAAACTCCATTAGATTGTTTTTTCACTGTCTGTGTCCCATTGGGGAAGATTTTCATTCGCTTCCTGTCCTGTAAACAAAATAGGAGGAGGAAATTTCTCCAAAACAAGGGAAGTTGTCACAGGAACAAGTGTCCCCATTGGAAGATTTCCCCTCGATTACTGTATGGTGACAACTCAAGATTTTGACATTTCCCCTCACTTTCATTCTCAGTGACAGTGTTCACCACAGCAAATAAAAACCTGATAGAAGTTTTAGACGCACCTACTGTATCCAGGACACCACGTGCCCCTCCCATCAGCCATGCTTTGCCTACATTACTTAGGGAAGCACACAGACCAAGTGCTGATGTCACTGGGTCTAAAGAAGGGTATGCAATGAAACTTGAAAAGTTTTAGAGGTCTATTCAGAAAGCTAGCCGAAGGATCAGCAGTAGCTCCAGCTGATCCTTTGGCTAGCTTCGGGCGCTGGAGCCCTTCAGTACAGTTGAATCAAAGGGCTGCTGTATCGGCTATTCACTATAGCCCGTACAGCTCCCGAAGCTGGCCGAGCGGCTCAGCCCAGCCAAAGGCATATGCTTTGGCTCGACTGAGCCGAAGTGACACCCGAAGCAGTGCGCACAGCCAGCCATCGGCCGGCCGAAAGCCGGCTGCCCAGTTGTAATGACAGATCAGCGCCCCCAGGCTACCTGGGGACGCTGAACTGTCATTAAACAATGACAGTTGTTATTCATTGGCTGGGACCTGCTAAAAGACTCTTGCACGTCCCGGCCAATAGGAAACAGTTGGGCGGAGCTAGCTGTCACTGCTAGCTCCGCCCAATTGATTGGGTTTTTTCTTTAGTTTTTTTTCCTTTTTTTAAAGAAATCTTTATTTATTTTTTACATTTATAATTTATTTAAATTTTTTAACATTTTTTTAAACTTTTTTCACTGATTTTTTATTCTGCTCGGTACCACCGAGGTACCGAGCAGAATAGCCTAGCTGAATGCCGCTCAGCGGCATTCGGCTATTCACTCACTGCTGTTCGGCCCCCATGAGAATAGGCCGAAAAGCAGCAAGTAGACTGCCGGAAGTTCAGCTCAGCCGATCCAGATGTTGGATCGGCTGAGTCGAACTCCTTCTTCACTTAGGCTGAACCGAAGCCAACCGAAGCAAGCCGATGTACGGCTGGTTTCAGCCGATGTAAGGCTGAAATCAGCCGTACAAGCCTGAAGTGAAGAGCCAAACAGCATTCGGCTCACTTCACTTCAGGTGGGTTATTCACTCGGCTTCCTTCGGCAGCTTTGTGAATAACCCTCTTAGCTATTCATTTCATTAGCCTGTGGATGATGGGGAGGAGGATCCAGTGAAGGTAAAATATAAACAAGTGAAACGTCAGCATTAAACATTATGGATTTCTAGTCCAAAAAACAGCACACTTTATCCAAGTGCATGATGGTCCGATCTACAAGCTGGGTATGAAGTCTTGAGGATTCTTAGTAACTGACTCAGGTATATTATGGGCAGAGCCTTTGCTCTACTTTATATACACACAGGCTCTCTGTTCCACTGTGTAGACATCTGCATGTTTTCCAACAATTATCTAGTAACAGTTCTCTCCTCTTCAGCCAGCTGCAGATTAATACAGAATGATATAGACGACTGCCGATGATATAAAACTTTATGGCGGTTGGATATTTAACCTATTTTTAGCACCTGTAGCCCAGCAGTGGGAGCTATTTACAAAGAACTGCATATCACAGGCCGCAGCTGTCTCCCTGCACTAGATCTTTGCACAGCTTAGAAAGATAAATGTCACGTATGAATAGGTTATATTCATGCAGGAAAAGAAAGTGAACTCTGTTTGAATATTTAGGCAGCTGACAAAATTTCCGAACTTAAAATGAACTATTATGACGGGACGTGGAAACAAAGCAGCGTAATTTATCAAAACTGGAGCAGTTGCCTATGGCAACCATTCAGCTTCTCTCTTCCGTTTGTTCAGTTAAGGTTTAAAAATGAAAGGTTGATGCTGATTGGTTGCTGGTAACAGCTGCTCCAGATTTTGTCTGCCCCATTTTTGATAAATCCCCTTCTCTGTATAATGATCAATTATATAATGATCATCAGAAGCCTATATCACAGGGTGACAATGTAGGAGCATAATTGAGAGATAGGAGCAGAGGGTTGTCACTCTGTAAAAGTAGGATCCTGAATAAGAACATTAATGGAGAGCATAACCATGTATTAGTTAATGAAAGCTGCAGAATTCTAAAATTTCCAAATTACTTTTGAAATTACATTAAACACATTAATGCTCATGGGATTTAGTTACTGACTTTACATTTTTTTAGGGCCAAGCAGAGTAACTAATCCAAAAACAAATACAATTTGTTGGCTGGAGTTGGGTTTATCATTGTAGAAGAATAGTGAGCCATTAAGATGGACACAACATCAGGCAGGAGTCAACGAAAAATGAATTTTTGTTTTATTTTGCATAGAATTAGAAGGATTCGAACCTGTGTCTGTTTCTTTTATTGCCATCCAGGGCACCACTAAAGAATGAATCTCACTTCCTGTGTTGCTAACAAGATTTTACCAGACAGGAAGTGATGGAAACTCTCCAAAGGCAACACACACAGAAATAAAAAGTTGTTTTGTTTTTTTTCAGTAGAGTAGGGGAAGGCTAGAACCTCTGTCCTGTTGCTCCCTCCTGCTGATACTGTATATATCGCTTCACATGGCATAACATTAGTAAGTGAAGAATGTTAGATGGCATGACAGGTCAGTGATTATTAGAGGATGTCTCTACCGGCCAAACATTGTTATTCAGTTACTGACCTTTGAGATGATGACAGCCATTGCAAGGTTCTCAGAATGAGCGGCTACATAACCCAGCATCATGATCCCGGGAAGTCTCACATTACCCCTGCAGTTCCCAATGTAGTCTATGACGGCAGCCACTCCTCCTGCATTTACTATGAGCTGCGACAGCTGGAATCAAACAAAAGACAAAGCAAATCAGCTTTTTGTGTTTGCAAGTAGTTATCTAGAAGTACACTAAGGTATGATATGGAATTCCTTCAGGCAAATGACAGGTAAAGCATAGAAACGGTCTGTCCACCTGCAACTGATATGTTGGTTATGTGCGGGTACTGGCGGGTTGAATTTCCTATAACTTCCTTTATCTTTTGGGGACTTCAGCAACCAGATTGTGTTGCTGTATTTCTAGCCTTGTCCTCTCCCCCTGTTGAGCCTCACTTCTGTAGCAGAAGAATCTCTACTCCCTCTGTATTCAACAATATAAGTAGGAATGTTCAGATACCAAGTACCGTACTCGGGACAAGTACAAGTACAGATACTTTTCCAGCTCCAAGACTAGACTAGAGAAAAATGCAGAAGTTAGGAGGCCGCTGTCATTTGTAAGGAGCACACGGAGCTCCTGGATTTGTACATATCTGTTTAATGTATGATGTTGTTTTTATAAACATATATAAGGGATGCACCGATACCATTTTTCAAGTACGAGTACTGATACATTTTTGTTTATTGTCATGAGACAATTTTTCTAAAACAATATCGACTAATGATTTCAGGACAGTGGTGGAGCACCAGAGCTAAGTCCCATCTGCAACCACTGCCACCCTAGTAATTCTCATGAAAATGCCAAGTATCGGCACTGGTATATGAACTGGTATCGGAACATCCCTAAAAAGTAAATGCACATTTCAACAAGCTATGGGCTGAGATGGAGATATAGGCACTGGGATTTAACTGTGAGAGATCATGAAAGATATAGAAAGCCGCCAGGTATTGCAGCCCACCAGCATCCAGCTATTAATGAAATATCAATTTTAAGTGGACTAACTTTACTGAATCTTCAGTGAATCGCTGACTGAAACAGAAAATGTCAAGGCAGCATATAGGTATCTAAATGACGTGTTTAACTGAGATAATAATACAATGAATAATATAGAAAAAAGTGATCAATATACATAGACTTGCACATACAGTGTTAAACATGTACTATATGGCCTACAGCATAAAAGTATTTGTAGTTTCACCATAGCTGGAGGGCTGGAATTTGCCTACACCGTATTTTGTGCTTCTTGTGGCAACAGTTTGGGGACAACCATTTCCTGGTCCAGCATGAATGTACACAAAGCCTGCTCCATAAAAACATTTTTGACATGAGGACCCTGAGTAACCTGCATAGAGCCTTGGCCTCAACCCTACTAAGCAACTCTGGGGTGAATTGGAAAGCAATTACAAGCCAGGTCTTCTCGTCCAACATCAGTTCCTGATCTCACAAATGCTCTTTGGCTGAATAGGCACAAATTCTCACAGGCACACTCTAAAATTTTGCTCATAGATGTCCAACAAGTTCATATAGGCATAACAGATGTCCACAAACTTTTGGCCTTATAGTGCAACTTATTGTGCAACATCCTATGAGGTGCCTATAAATAGACTCTTACAGGACAAGGACAAGGGCAGGACAGGCCTCACACATTTATTAATGGTCATGTCTGTGCCTATGGAGAAGGGGAGAGGGCTTTTTTAGGGGACACCATGGCAGTTGGCCAGGAAGAATTACACCTAGCCAATCAACAATCCCCTAAGAACACTTAGGTAGAAGAGGTAACCTGGGTTGGGTAGCACCAACCGTAAATGGCCATAAACATTCTATGATGTCTGTAGACACTTACAGTAACAAAGTGAAACCAGTTTCAGATGAGGGCACATAGAAGGGTGTTCTAATTAACAAAGACGACAGCATGCACGTTGTGGGTGTCTGCTCTTTGACAAGACATTTAAAAGTATAAAATAGCTTAAAAGATTGCTATAAAATAATTTTTCTGTGCTTTTAATGGCAAAGAAACAGTCATGCAAAGGGCAGATTTGTATGCGTCCACAAGGTGCCACAACTGGATTTTAGTCGCTTTGGCACCGCATTAATTCATTATGACAACATATGACACGCAGTTTAATGCCAATTTGTGCGGAATCTCTGTCAAATGGCGTGAAAAGGGAACTGAAGAATGGGGAGAAGGGATTTATAAAACGGTGGGCTAAATTGTTGTGACATCTCTCAGATCTGCACCTCGCCCTGTGCCTTTGTATTAATTGGGGGGGAAGAGCAGCGGAGAGACAATCCTAAAGGGAGACAATGCAGAGCCCAGATAATTAATGGTAGCAACTGGCTGTGATACAGCCACGAGAGAAAACAAATAACTTGAGGATGCTTGCATTAATGCTTATTTATTGATTTCACATCAGCAGCAACCAGTCTTATTAAGATCCCCATATTTCTTAGTGTTCATTAGGACTGCTCTGTCAACAAGAGACGTCAGCTTAGCAGCAAACCTTTGAGGGCAACAGGTCACTTCGCTGCAGCCCATAGGAGTCCTGCTGAGCCACATTACTGTGACTAGCAACAAAAGAAAGGATTTAAATATCCCACACACTAAATCATCTGATGATGACTCATGTACAAAAGGATTAAAGTATCATTTTAATTTGCAGTTTACTCCCTCAACCCACCAATCTAGCGCTGAGTGCTGTGATTAATCCATTGCTGAGTTGTATATTAACGCTGCGTGTTGCTATTTGGAACACATTACCTCGGGTGTGTGTCGGGCAATTTCTCGGATTAGAGTGGCTGAATTTTTTTTGACGTATTCGTCGGGGTCCTTCAGGCATGTCAGGACGACGGGGAAGATCTCAGCCTCAACGACCATTTCTGCCAGATCTACTGAATGCTTCGCTATTTGACTGAGAGCGGACAGCACCTGTCGCTGTTGCGTGGGCAGAGAAAATGATAGTCCAGTTAGTTTTTGGCATGCACAGCACAATTGTTCAAAAAGCAATGGTGATGTAAAAAGTGCAGCAACCACCAGGAACCAATCGGATTTCAGTTCATTAGATTACGATCAGTAAAAGATTTTTTACTTTATTACGTGAATACATTGTGCCAATTGTTTATTTTACCTAAGACGGCACATACATGGCACTCAAAGTTTCTATTTTGCATTTTGCTATATACATCCTATTGGTTCTTACTTTTTTCTTTATTTCCCATCCCAGAGGTGCAATCATAAGTGGCAAATTTTTACAAAGTAAGTGGAATTATCCTCTTAACACAAAGAAAATGAGCCTATATGGGACTTTTGGGATTGCGTATCTTCTTTAAACATACATTATGAATAAATAAAACACTTAAACTATAAAAAAAACAACTGATGCAGATTCTTGTAGTATAGGCGATATCATCTTCCCCAGAGTCCCAGCAAAAAAATCATACCTGGATATTAGAAATGTTTTTAAGCATTTGTAAATCACAGGGTTTAAAGCTGTTCTTGGGTCTCAGAATATTTCATGGACTTCTGCTAGAGGAACATGGAGAATCAAGTGTAAAAGAAGTACTACTGGAATCACTTGCTTAAAAAAACATCAACTAAGCCATCTCTAAAAAGAGTACGTCCTTGTGTCCTGGACCAGGGGTAAATTTACAATGGATATGGGGGGCAATAGACACCCCAGGCAATTCATTTGTATATAGCCAAGCCTCTTAAATCACTCATCATCTGCAGTGATTCAAATAGAAAGGTCAGATAGACTTCGGTGCTGTGATATTGTACTTCCTCATTTAGCGCCGTGAGTCGAGATTTTTTTTTATTTCTATGAGTCAGCGCCCATTGGTCATCATTATGACGTTGGATTTTTTTTTAGCTAAATAAAGGATTAGTCAAAAATTAGTCAAAAACATGTCAATTTGTTTATTCTGAGGTAGGGAACAGAATGACCGAGCCAAATGCTGCACGGCAGCATTCGGCCATTCACTTTCTGCTGTTCAGCCCTGAGAATAGGGGCAAACAGCAGAGACTGAACTGCCAAACCTTCACCTCAGCCGATCCAAATGTTGTAAAGGCTCAGGCGAATGTGTCCTTCACTTCGGTTCAGCCGAACGCACTGAGGCTGTTCGGCTGTACCGCAGTGAGGCGAAGCCAGACGATGTATGGCTGAAAACAGCTGTGCATGGCTGAAGTATATAGCCAAACAGGGTTTGTCTCTCTTCACTTCGACTTGGATATTCACTTTACTGCCTTTGGCAGCTTAGTGAATAACCCCCATTATTTCATTATGGGGCAGATAGAACAGGTGGAAGAGAGCTACAGACTAAGGTGTGGTCACTGTCCTGGGCTATGCAATAGAGGGATGTCTGTTAGAGACATTTCTAATTACGATTTGTCCTAGATAGATTTGTTGCTACCCCTAGAAAAGATTATAAATAATTGGGTCATGGTGATATTTCAAACTAACTGTTCTCTGTAATTAATATCACACATGCTGTCATTCTGCTGTTTGTATCATCGTGTGCACCACACTGAATATATACCAAAGCGGAGGAAAGAGTTGTCTGAGGAGATCAAAAAGAAAATTATAGACCAGCACATTAAAAGGTAAAGGCTATAAGACCGTCTCCAAGCAGATTGCTGGACTGTAACTACAGTTGTAAATATTACTAACATGTTTAAGATCCATGGAGTTGTAATCAACCTCCCTGTGCATGGCCACAAGAGAAAAATCGAACCCAGACTGAACAGAAGAATAGTGCGAATGCTAGACAAAGACCTGACGAATGCTTCCAAAGAGATACAGGCTGGACTCCAAGGTCAAGGTACATCAGTGTCTGATCGCATCATCAATTGCTTTTTGAGCGACAGTGGGTAAAAAAGGATGAAGATGTAGGAGGACTGGAATTTGCTTACATGCATATTGAAAAGCAACAATGCTTCTGGGAGAATGTTGTTTGGACAGATGAGACAAAACTGCAGCTTTTTAGCAAGTTACATCAGCTCTTGATTTGGATTGAGACTTTCAAAGAGAAGAACACCGCACCTACTGTGAAACATGGAAGAGGCTCGGTTATGTTTTGGGGTTGTTTTGCTACATCTGGCATGGGTGGCCCTGGATGTGTGCAGGGATTAATGAAATCTCACAACTATCAAGGAATTCTGAAGAGAAACCTACTGCCAAGTGTCAGAAAGCTCTGTCTGTTGCAAATAATGGGTCCTCCAACAGGAAAATTATTTGAACACACAGCAAAAGGCATCCAAAAATGGCAACGAACAAAACATTGGACTATTCTTAAGTGGCCTTCTTTGAGGCCTGATCGGCATCCTAACGAGCACCTATGGAAAGAGCTAAAGAAGGCACCCTTCAAACCTGAAAAAGCTGGAGAAGTTTACTCACGAAGAGTGGGCCAAACTACCTGTTAGCAGGTGCAGAAGGTTCACTGAGAGCTAGAGAAAGTGTTTGTTTCCAGAGATGGCCCATTCACAGTAACACATCCACATAAATGGAGGGTTGTAGTGGGCAGGCTTGTGTGTCATGGCAGGTCCAGTACTGTGTGGTGTACCACAAACTGCCGGATCATATCTGCATTTTTTCACTGCGTACCGCAGATCACAACTGCATTGTAGCATAAAAGGGCACACAGAAAACTATTTTCTACATGCCCTAGCAGTGTCTCGCGTTGTTTGGTTGCTGAAAAACGCCAGTCACCGCATCTAGTGTGAACAGGCCCTATAGGTTATGCAGAAAAATTTAGGTTAAAGGTTCTATCATTTTTATTCATGCCTTTTTCATTTGCTTTATTTATTAAAATACTCTGTTGAATAAAAAATGAAAAGCAAAGTCTTATTTGTATTAAATATTCAAATATGGAACTATAGATGCCAATTACTTTTGTCAGTGTCAAGTTATTTCAGAAAGAATTGTGCGTTCTTTTTTCGTAAAAGCAAAACAAATGGCAAACGCACTCATCAATTTGTTACCAGCTTTACAGCAAGCTGCACTTTTTGCTATGACTTTTTCCGTGAAAGGGTACCAACAAATTTGTCCATGTTGGTATATCAAGAAAGTCAGGGGAAAATCAGACACTCATATCTGCATATTCATTCCAGGCCATAGTCTCAAAGTGTTAAACAAAAGGGTAAATATGACTGCCAGGTGACGAGCATTTTCAGATGTCAGATAAGCAATGGCAGCCTCCATGCTTCTCTCATAAAAGGTTCCCTTTCATTCCTTTAGTGACTTGGTAGGAATTGCTGCACGGCAGCCAGGGGCATCTGTCCAAGGCAAACAGTTCATGAGAAATGAGAAATGCAGTTCTGTGGGCACTTCAGGCAAAGTGGAAAACACAGCGGATGGCATCAATGAAGAAACATTTTCTACTGGGCATTATTACATTGAGAAAGATGACCTGTTTTCGCATGGTTTCCACGGAGGACTACAGGATGCTCAGACAAGTCCAACAGCTCTATGTACAGACATATGTCAGAACCACACAAGGCTTTTTTCTGTTTGACTTATACAGCAACACATACCAATAGATACAGCATCAATATATGTGACCTACAAACGATTTGTTAATTTAACAAACTTTTTTCCACAGAAGCCAGCACCTTGAATGTAACAGACATCTGATATTTAAATATGGATCTCTATTAAAATTAATGGCATATACAACTGCTACACAAAACTGCCAAAAAGTTAAATTCAACGGCGTTGAATATAGTGTTTTCACATATTTTCTTACTTATGTTCAGTACCAAGAAAAATAAATAAATAAATAAATATACATACATACATACATACATATAAATAAACAAACACCCTATCATGTGTGAGCAATAGTTGGGTATTCTTTGCAAAGTTAATTTTTACTTTGTTCCACCTAATGTACAAAGATAAATGAAAATGTCCTTTGCAAATAGAAAAACACACTTTGAAAGTAAAAGCCATGCCGGTTTTTACTTCACTTCTTTACTTTACTTCTTTAATAAATCAACCCCACAATATATAAATGCTTAATAATTACTTCTTACCACTTAACCAAATGTGCTATCTACAGGTTCAAAAACTGTACTGTACTGTACTGAAATAAAGCAGAACAGATCAGTCTACACCTACTGCTGAATGATTAAAAGGAGTGACACTCTCCCTTTAGGGAGCATTCCAATCATTGACACACCACATATAAGGTGCCAATCAAATGACCAGTTTTCATCTAATGTGTATGGGCACTTTAGAATTCCACTAAATGTACTGGCCCAGCTGGCACTATATGAATAGAGCTGTTGTTCAATATAAAGAAAGATCTGGGAACTGGCTGTTCTACAATTAATCATGGAAGCACCTTTTTTTGTGCAGTCAGTGTTGAGCTAGTGGCACAGCTCATTCAGTAACACCACAGCTCACCAGCTACTGACCAGGCTGAGGAGATGAATCTGCTGTACGCAGTAATTCTACGTTTAACTAAATTATAAGAAAATGTTGGTTTTACTCTAGTATGCAGGAAAAGTGAACACGCTGGGGTAAATTTACTATATGAATAGAGAGTGTTCACTGAGGTTAGTAAATGAGCTACCCTTGTGTCCAATCATGTGCAAGGAGAATTAAAAAATAAAAACAAAGGAATTTTATTTGCTCGATTGGAAGATTGTATTGAACATAGCTTTACCTTATTCATTAAAGTGACACTAAACTCAGGAGTTAAATCTTAAAAATGCATTCAAGTACCCTAACTATTAACAAAAATGAATCTTATTTGTGTATCACTCGGCTGTAGATCCTCCAATCATCTCCGAATTGGTCATATTTTAGTGTGTGGGCTGGTGTGAAAGAGCCCTAAAACTCATCCTGAATAACAGACGATTTCTGTTTTTTAAGATCCTGAAGCAAATCAATCATAAAGCTAAGGAGGCCTGAAACAATGCTTTCTCTTCATAGAGAATTAACATAAATAATAGAAATCATACTTTAAGATTTATGAGTCAGCAGGAATACATCACTCTTTCTATATAGGGCTGAACACTATTTACACCCCAGCCACATATCTATCAAGCGTGCGTTGAAGCAGCTGAATATGTCTACCCATCTGTCACCAGCATTAGATCTGAAAGCGCAACCCTCAACTACAACTTCATCTGTCTATAAATATACGTATGTTCTTAGAAATAGAAGTTTTTTTCTTCTGCATTCTTCCAAATAATAATATTAAAAGAATAAAATACTCCAACACATAAAAATACAGACATTTGCAGAGGGATCTGTCAGCAAGAAAACAGCATGTGGTTATAGCAGTTCACTGATCAGATGAAGTATAGTATGAGTATGCATTTAACTTATGCAAGGTATTGTTTACTATGCCAGTCAACATTTCATTCTCAAGCATGAGAATGAAATTAGTTAGTTAGTTAGTACCCGACAGTCAACATTTTACTAGGTAATGTTCACATAGACCTAAGATTACATTGGGACTACAGTTTTCACCCTCCAACAAGCAAAGTGTAAAGATTCCTAACTGGCTTAGTATAGCTGTAATAAACAATATAGGTAATAAATATCATTGACAAAGTTGATTAATTGCTGCCCCGGATCAATATATCAATTTAGATAAGAAAGTATATAAAAGTATAATTACCCTCTAAATACAAGGCCCCAAAGTGCAAGCTTTCTGCTGCTAACAATTCAGGAAAAACCGGCATGGCTTTAAAAATAAAAAATGATTTCTGAATTGTTTCTGTTCTAATGTAATGTTTCTTTATGTTATTATATTACGTATACTAGGAAGGTATAAATCACCTTTTCTAATACAATCCCTAACGTGAACAATAATTACCAGTATCCCTAATTGTGTTTACATTTTTTCCAAATAATTGTTATTTTTAAAAGAATACAAAACAATTTATAAAATGATTTGATAAAGTGTAAGCTGTTGTATGAAATAACTAGCAAGCTAAACCCCCCTCAATGTACCAAAAAGACCCCTAAACTGTTTAGAAGTGCCCTGAAATGGTCATAAGTACCCATTCAACTAGCAGAAGTAACCCCTACTGGTTGGATAACAGGGTTCTACATCTCCGTGCTCTTGCCTCACATGTAACAGATGTGCTTAGTTTTAAATAGACTGGCAAGACCTTTATAAGAAAAAAATAGCTAGAAAATAATTGTACATGCAATAAATATTTAACTGCTGCATTTTCAGGAACACATAGCAGAAACAGGGATGGATCAAACAGTAATTGAAAGATGTACCTTGAGTTTGGCATCCGGATTGAGAATCATCTGGGCTAAGTGGGCAATAGCTCCCGCATCCACCACGGTCTGAGCCAGCTCCGGAGAATGCTTTGATAGATCACTCAGGGCTGAAGCAGCAATCCTTTTCAGAGCGATTTCTGGCTCCTGGATACACAGCACTAGCAGGGGAACAGCTCCTGAATCCACCACAGCTTGTGACAATTCTGCAGGTCCAACGAGAGGTAATTAAGTAAGTACGGGTGACTGACCCTTGTACGAGCCATTTTTCACTATGACACACACACCAAAGGAGAGAGGGCAGGCCGGACTGGGCTGTCTGGAGATCTGCATTTCAAATCAGCCTCCTTAGCTTCTGAAGTCATGTGGACCAATCCTTGGCTGAAAGGGACACCGGTCAATAGATGGGACCTCTTTTACATACACACATTTGGGGTAGATTAGGCTGCAAAAGCTTGTTATTCTACTGGGAGGAACTAACTAAGCAGATGTCAGCTGTTTAAGCCCAGACCCACCAGTGGGCAGCCATTTTATGCATGGATAGCTAGGTAACACAAAGCCATCACCGTATGAAAAAATAGAGGGAGGATTCCTTGTCGCATTCTAACTACGCTGAAATACAAGAATAATATTTTACATATGTTCCAAGATATTTTAAGCATACTAACATTTTATTTGAAAATTCTTTCTGCTTGTTTTAATTTTTTTTGCTGAAATATATATTTAAAATGTAAATGTTCTATTTACATAATTTTTAAGCTAAACTGTTAAAAGTACAAAGAAATGTGTGTGTATTTTTTGACATCTTATCTACTGGACTAATATGGCGTACCCATTTATATTGCACTATATATATATATATAAAAAATAGTGCATACAAATAAAAAAAATGTTGAATAAACGAAGACAACAATGTTTCACATGTTTGAGACTTACAACAAGCAAAGCAAAAAGTATGTCTATATTTTTAGCATCTCACATTATAACAGATCACTTCAAGCATTAAATAAAAACAGCCTTACCTTTTTGTGATCTAAACATATTGATAACATATAAGAAAGCACTATTTTTATTTTTTTATTATTATTTATTTTGTTGTTTTATACATCTACAAAGTAAGCACACATAAAATGTCATCTTATATAACAAGTTTCTCCCAGATTTCACTGTTGTAACAAAGAACAAAAACAAGAAGCTTTTCATTATTTAGGGAAGAAATCTGTAGAAAGCTGAATTAATAAACGAGGAGAAAAACATTTTCTCGCTGCCAATCAGATGTCAGATGCCATTCTTTAGTAGAGAGCACAAAGAGGGTTAGGGTTAAATTATATCAGATAGCTATAGACAGCACAAGAGCTATTTCTAAAACTGCCTCATTGTTACTTAGCAAAGACAGGATAATTTAATTGTCATAATTCTTTGAATAATTTGTGGTCTTTATCGCAGCTCATTTTAATAAAATATGTATAATAATATTAAGCATCCTAAAAATGGGCTTGTTTCAGGTTGAGCTCAATTATTGTGTGTTCACAATATATATATATTTTTAGTTGTTCCAGGGTCACAGTGAAAATGAGGTCTAATTATCTAATTATTCCAAAAGGGAAGCAGCAAAGAAGAAGAAATTCATCTTAACTAGTGCATGATAATAAATGACTCACATCATCCTCCATGACAAATATGTCCATAAACTCTAGATACAGTATGTGAGCAAAATGCATTATGACCTGAAGCTGATGCTGCAGCAGGATGTAGATATATTTTTGCACTTCATTTTGTAAAATTTTTCATATATTGACCATAGCCATATCAAATCAAATGTTCCCTATGATAATTCCAATATTATATAAGACAGTCATTGACGTTTGGGGTATATAAACAAGACAGACAAGTCACAGAAGCAAAGGGGGGAAGTATGGAGGTAAAGGAGACTTTGCCTATAGAAAATGTGGGCTGGCAGGACATCATCTGAGTTATCAAAGATAGAAGGCCCACCAGATAAACTAATTTATCAAAGCATGCAATATGCATGGCATTAGAATGAACCAACATTGATATGCCACAAATAGGTAGAAGAACTCAAAATAACATTGAGCTAATAGGTAGAAGAACTTATTGTTACATTGAGCTAATAAGTAAAAGAACTCAAAAAGGTAGTAAAACGTGGCAACCAGTCAGATTCTTTCTCCGGGGAATTTCTTTTCACCTTTTGGATTGTGAGCACTTTGAGTTCTAACCTTGTGGTTCTGAATTCTTCACTCTTTTCTTAGATCCCTGTGGCACAGGCTTTGTGTGTAGGACTTGTGGAACAATCATATATATGTTATGGGTGTTTCATGCAATTGGACAGGGGACAGTTTTTTGATTTATAGTTTATATATGCTGTAAGTACTTACAATGACAATGTATGAGATATGTTACTGTATTGTAACCATCACATTCTCAAACAATTACTGTTACTATCACATTCTCAAACAATTCATCCCCACACAGCTACCTCCTCATGTATCATTTCCCCCTCCTCTTTCAGATTGTAAGCCCTCAGGGGCAGGGCCCTCCTTAACATCCTGTTTGAATTGTATTGTCATGTCTTCCTTATATTGTAAAGCACTGCGCAAACTGTTGGCGCTATATAAATACTATGTAATAATAATAATATTGCTTTACCATGATTATACTATATACCCCAAAAATAAGACCTACCCCGAAAATAAGACTTAGTACTATTTTCGGGAATTGCTCATATATAAGACCTACCCCGAAAATAAGACCTAGTTGTGACCATTCCCAGGGCCGGTGGTTGCATAAGGGAGCGGGAGCGAATCAGCGGTGCCAACGAAGCCGGCGCTAGAGGAAGCGAGGCGGCACTGGAGGGAGCTGAGCCGCATAAGCCGATGCCTCCTCTATAGCGCCGCCTCCTGTCACAGGTGGAGTGATACCAAATGCACTCCGCCTGTGAAAGTGCGCTTCGGTCATTCTGGCCAGCGATTGGTTAGCAAATTGCTCTTGGAAAGGTACGGCACCCCTGATTGCCCTGATCACTATATTTTATTACATGAATACATGTAGACTGTTGTACATGAATAAGTGTGGATTGTTGTACTTATGGCTTTGGTCTATTACAGATAAATGTCAAGGTCTAAGGCCACCATCTGATAAAATCTACCCACTAAAGTATATCAAGCACTAGTTCATTGTGGGATCCTGAAGAAGTGGATCTTTCTGTGAAACACATAGAACCCGCAGATACGCAAGCTGTTATTGGCCTGTTGTATCATTTGAAAAGGTCTATGTTATGATCATGATGTATACATGATTGCACACTTTTAAATAGGATATTAATATACTCGTTTTCTTTGTCTAATATGTTTTTGCAAATTTTCCCTATATGAAATAAACTTTCTTCTATAAATTCCCAGGGCCGGTGGTTGCATAAGGGAGCGGGAGCGAATCAGCGGTGCCAACGAAGCCGGCGCTAGAGGAAGCGAGGCGGCACTGGAGGGAGCTGAGCCGCATAAGCCGATGCCTCCTCTATAGCGCCGCCTCCTGTCACAGGTGGAGTGATACCAAATGCACTCCGCCTGTGAAAGTGCGCTTCGGTCATTCTGGCCAGCGATTGGTTAGCAAATTGCTCTTGGAAAGGTACGGCACCCCTGATTGCCCTGATCACTATATTTTATTACATGAATACATGTAGACTGTTGTACATGAATAAGTGTGGATTGTTGTACTTATGGCTTTGGTCTATTACAGATAAATGTCAAGGTCTAAGGCCACCATCTGATAAAATCTACCCACTAAAGTATATCAAGCACTAGTTCATTGTGGGATCCTGAAGAAGTGGATCTTTCTGTGAAACACATAGAACCCGCAGATACGCAAGCTGTTATTGGCCTGTTGTATCATTTGAAAAGGTCTATGTTATGATCATGATGTATACATGATTGCACACTTTTAAATAGGATATTAATATACTCGTTTTCTTTGTCTAATATGTTTTTGCAAATTTTCCCTATATGAAATAAACTTTCTTCTATATTTTAGAACAAATTTGTTGAACCAACTATCTCACATTTGTATATTTTTATGTTTGAATGTTCTGGAATTTAAAGCCACATTTCCTGGTACACATACTGATAATTTTGGGTTGCTGGTGCTTACAATCTAACAATACTTATGGGCTTTTCCACTGATTTCTGCTATTCAGCATTTTCCAACCAGATTACTATTTATAGAAGTCTTATCAGTGAAAGATGACTTATGACTGATTGCTTTGGGTCATTGCACTTAGCTTATTGTTCTTTGTCTTATTAAAGAAAAAAATCAGCTGTGTTTACATTTATTATGCTTAATGACACCTGACCACATTGCCGCTTGATGTAGTTATTGAAATGAGCTGTGTGCAGGAAATCTTTCTGGTGATGGGTAAACTACAATTACTGACCATTGCAGTGACTAGATACCATTGGCAACATCATAATTCTTCATTTGTTTCTTTATATCCAATTACAACCCCAATTCCAAAAAAATTGGGACGCTGTGTAAAATCTACATAAAATAAAAAATGCAATGATTTGCAAATCTCATAACTCATATTTTATTTTCAATAGAAAACATATCAAATGTTTAAACTGAGAAAATGGACCATTTTAAGAAAAAAATAAAGGTAATTTTGAAACTGATGGCAACAACACTTTAAAAAAATTGGGATACGGCCATGTTTACCATCTCCTCTTCTTTTAACAACACTCTGTAAATATCTGGGAACTGAGGGGACCAGTTGCTGGGGTTTTGGGGGAGGAATGTTGTCCCATTCTTGCCTGATATAGGATTCTAACTACTCAACAGTCCTGGGTCTTCATTGTCGTATTTTTCATTTCAAATGCGCCAAATATTTTCAATAGGTGAAAGGTCTGGACTGCAGGAAGGCCATTTAATCCCCCGGACTCTTCTACAATGAAGCTTTGCTGTTCTCATAGATGCAGTATGCCGTTTAGCATTGTCCTGCTGTAATATAAAAGGCCTTCCATGAAAAAGACGTTGTCTGGATGGGAGCATATGCTGCTCTAAAACCCGGATATATCTTTCAGCATTGATGGTTCCTTTCCAGATGTGCGACCTGCCCATTCCATACGCACTTATGTACCCCCCATACCATCAGAGATGCAGGCTTTCGAACTGAGCGCTGATAACAAGCCGGAAGGTC